CGGTGTTATATCTAGGGACATAAGGGCTCTCCAGAAATCTTTGAATAGACCAATGGGATCTCCCTATTTGCCTGGAGATGGCTCGAGTACTGAGCCCACCTTCATGATGAGCCCTCTCATCAGAAGAATGCAGATGACCACGAGCCATGTTGACAGCAAGGTTTAGAAATGCATTTGCTAAACATGCTTACCTTTATAAGTATCTTTAAACACACAATTTCCTCTCTTCCATGAATAATTGTTCACTTTCTCAGGGTGACCTTATAATTATGAAATGCACTGTAGTAAGAGCTGAAAAGCAAGCCTGCCAGGCATCGTTGGAAAGATGAGCGAATTTCTAAAATCCTGTAACCCAAGCAACCCTCACTAAACCTGAGCACTCCTCGCGTTATAAGTGCAGGCCTGCTCGTTTATCATTTCGTCTTCGTTGTCCTGATTGTCAGAACAAAACTTGATCTATCTCACTATTAAGGTGATCTTGGATATGTTGACGACGAGAACTATCTCTTCATAGTGGATCGACTTAAGGAACTCATCAAAGTTAAAGGATTTCAGGTAATACAGCTCGAGTTAGGGAAACACACGTCCAGAACACGGGTTTTCGGTAAGAGTCCTGATCCGCACATTATTTTTATCAGCCCCTTTCAAGATAATCTTGTCAGCTGCAGTTCACTTAAATAGCTATCGTCTAAACTTTACAATTCCCCCAGTGACCATTTATCTAGTCCATTCATTCTTCCCTTAGCGAAACTTTCTAGCTGTTTGTTGCTTAAAAAGTATTGTTAAAGATTTTGTTTAATCCTCGAAAGGATTTAGGTTCCGCCAGCTGAGCTAGAGGGAATCCTCTTGTCTCATCCCAAAATACGAGATGCAGCCGTTATTGCAGTTCCTCATGCCGAAAAAGGAGAGGTTCCAAGGGCATACGTTGTCTCCTCATCAAGCTCCCTGCAAGAAAATGATGTGAAAAATTTTGTAAGCGGTAGGTTTGGATGTTTTTGCTTTTTAGAGCACAAGCACTTGCTTATCACTGCGAAGGCTTACTGCACTAATAAAGGTATCATTCAGAGTAGCATCATTTTCAGATAAAGTTTCTGAGTATAAGCGACTTGAGGGCGGTGTCGAGTTCGTGGACAGTATTCCAAAGTCACCAGCTGGCAAGATTCTCAGGCGGTTACTACGGGATCGACATAAATCAAAACTATGATGTATATATTTCTAAATAAAAACTTCGAAAACCAAAACCCTGTTGTTTTTACAGGGTTGGTGATTCATGGGCAAAACTTCAGTCTAGGGCGGGACTCGAGACTCCTGTCGTTTTCATTCGTCCAAGTTTAGGAAAGCTCTTCCCTGAATAACTACAAGGACGTTTACTAGGAAAAAAAGCGTACTTGGTACAAAAGAACAGGGTACAGGAATAGAGAGTTTCACTTTCCCGGCAGCGTTTTAAAACGTCAACGAATAAGAGTTGAGGAAGACGACCTTTCGAAAACTCATTTGGTGGAAATGCCGCAACAAAATAAACAGGTTTTATCTGAGAACCTCGAGTTTAATGAACAATTATTCTACTAGGCAAAAAAGTAATCTAATCCTGTCTATAAAGATCGGCGACTCCAAATTGAGCGACTCCTTCTTCGAATGGAAGATCAACAACCTAAAAGTAGAAATTCCAGAGAGTAAAGTAACAGTAAATTGATCATGAAGACCATACCTTCATAAGGTAGCGCATCTCATCCTGAGAAGCCCACTTCTTCTTCTTAGCATCCTCAGCTGCCTTCGCAACAGCTTTCTCGTGTTCCCACTCACGAAGATCAGCGTGATGCTCGCGGATCTGGCGCAAGCGGAAGGCGCCCCACAGAATCCCGAGGCCAAGTGCCGTGTACCTGTAAATCTTATCAGATTCACCTTAAGAAACCAAAATCAGTCATTAAAAAATCGCTCACCTCCCAAATCTGATAAGTGGTGAGATAGTTTGCGTTGGAGGCTTTATAACAACGGCATTGGGATGGCGAGGGTAGGTCATCCTGCAAATTTGCAAATCCTAATAAGGTATACTATCGAAAGCTAGTAAATCAGCAGAGCAGCATTGAAAGACGGTATCAAATGGATCGCTTGGATACCAGGAGTCAACAAAATTCACAACAAAAATGGAGATTTATTTATTATCAATAAATTAATGATGCTTAAAAGGGAGGAATAACAAACCCAGACAGTGAAAAGCAGAGAAAAAAGCTTCTTAACGAGTATACAAAATCAGGTTTTTTGGCAATGAGTTAAGCGGTGACAAGATTTGATTCAATTTCATTGATCATACTGCGATAGAGTGCGAAAAATGTCCTTCTGTTATGAACACACAGCCGCAGCAACCTGTAATCAAATTGGTAGGGATTGCCTTTTGGCAGAAATGGGAAGTTAAAGTAAAGTATAGGTCAAATAAATTTTGGGCTTTTTTTGACAGCTCAGGTTCAAATTTATTAAAGATGAAACCGTTCTAGATAGCCGACTCTGGCAGCCTTTTGAAATCTTCAGTTTATTTTAGATGCCTCATTGAAAAACTTTACATAAATCTAAAAGACTTGACCAAATATCATTGCAATAAATCTAAACAGCGCAGAGGCAGACAGGAGCGACGGAACTTTGAATCTTTGATTCAGGCCCGAGCAACTATCTAGAGGAGGTTCAAACAGAACATACCTAGCAGTGAATGCACAAAGCTCGCTCTGGATCACAGAAAGCCCAGGTAAAAGACGGTGTGGAACTTCGGAAGGCGAGCGCAGTATTTCTTCAACAAATGTGGCAATACGCGAACCTGGAAAACTCCAGCCTCGCCTCCAACATTTGAAACATAAAAAATATCACAAACCGTATTGACAGCTCTATAACATTACTATTCAAAGGAGAAAACTCATCATTCTCTATTCCAATGAAGGATGGTATTTCAGAAACAAAAAAAACGAGGACAAGACCATAAACTTGAGGAAACGAACTCGATGGAATGCTATAGAAAGAAAACTCACGAACTAGCGCCCTAATAGCGTTGTTATCATCAGATATCGCCTTGATTTGTTCACGAAGTGTTTTTTCATGATCATCAGAGATGTTCACGTTTAAGGAGCTAGCACATTTACGCGTAGTTGCAACGCACTGTTCACTGATAGCGTTCAGGGTGTCCAGGAGATTCCTAAATACTTGAGGAAGCTCTAATAGAAACGCTGTAACTTGATGTTACTCACTTTTCTTCTATGTCATTAGAGATCACAATGAGCTGATCCTTCAGAGACTTTTTGAAATTTTCACTTTCAGAGACCTGAATAGGCAACAACAATTCTAGTGAGGGCACTCTATGAAACCTACTCCGCGCAAAATAAGGTACCTGTTTACCAGCAAGATTGCAAGTAATGAATACAGCACTAGTGACAACATTCATCTGCAAAAATTTCTCAGCTAACGCTGCCAATCGCAACTTATCTATACGCAGAGTTTCTGGGAATGGTACTGGGTTCTGAGATTCCACTAACCTGAAAATTATTTACGTAAATGGAATATTTTAAAAAAATATAACGCCAACCAAGGTAGTGGCCAACACCTACTTCAAATAACCTCTGCTGGTTGTCCTGACGACTTTGTCGTCATCAGAATCCTCAGTGACTGGTTTTTCTTTCTTTGCCTCAGGTTGCGAATCATCAGAAGTGGAGGGGTAAACTTCAAGATGAGCCAGCTTCAACCATTCTTTAGTCATAAGTGAGCCACCTAATAAATTAGGAAACATCCACTTGATCAAGTAATAGAAGAGAGCGAACATTACCCGGAAATTTCTCCAAATACTTCAGAAACTCCTTGTATTCGAACTTCGAGCTGTACTCTTCGACTGCAGCACGATTGGTTGACAGCACATAATTTGTCAAATCATTCTTCATGATATCCATCAAGTTGAAGATACCCCTTAAACCGTACATGACAAAAGAGCCAGAAGGATACGAAAAATAGCAGATCTTACTTTATCATCTCAACGATTCCCTCTTCATGGCGCAATTTCTCGACGAGTGTATCTCGCTCGGGAGCACACAACCTAGCAAGCAAGTCAATAACAAATCGTCCTATTCCGTGAACATCCATGCAATTTTGCTCCATTTTATTGCGCAACGAATCTGAAAAAATACTTTTGAATTCAAGTAAACTTTCAGCCCATTAGATCGAAGCTACGCTTCTTTGTATTGGTCAAGAAAAAGTTACCTAATGAATATTGAATACGGACTATTCATAAAAAGGGATAGGTCGGACGAGTAAAGGAAAGAAGCATGTTTTGACAAATCGATCGCTACCGTAGTTAAGCGTAGTTTGAGTGACATAGTGCGGTGAACGAAGAAAGTTGAAAAGATGAAAGGCGATAACTGGGTAACCTAGCGAAACGTACTTTCATCTAAAACGGAGTTCACTTCTGCTCTCAATCGAACGTGTGCAGGTGACAATATATCGTCCAAAATGGTCTGAAAGTAAGATTCACTGAATGTAACTGGCTGCGGTTCAAGTTCGAAAGCAAGAGCACACCTGTTTTATTTCCATCAAGAGATTGAATGCATGTATATAGTCCGGAGGATCTTTGGCCAAGTCTTCGGCAAGAAGATCCCAGTAAGCACGATGCATATTCTCTCTGGAAACTGTCAAAAAGAAACTCTACACGAGGTTGCCGCCAAATGGAGGGGTCCGTAAGAAAATAATAGGCAATGAGATAGACAACTTACTTTATGACTGCTTGAATAGGATTCGACGGCACTTCAGATACTGAAAAGTTAGGATCAATGGCTATTTCGTGAACCAGTGCAAGATTATCCATAGCAACTGACATCTTGAGGAGTTCATCAGGGGCCACGAATCGTGCGGGTGAGCCTCCTAAAGTACTAAAATTATGATTACTTGATTATAAAAGAATCGATCTAATTACGTAGCAGCTGAAACAACTAGGTGCTTCATTTGAATCCTTCAAACACCCTTAAACACCCCGAAAAACTTCACAAATGCTAGCTCCTCACATAAGAGGTTAGGCCCCGAGAGGGCAAGAAATCGAGGACAACGCAAAATTTCACTGGTCTTGTCTATTAACTAACACCTTCCCCACCCCCATTATTACTTTCCTAAAAAAAAAAAACTTGGAAGCTAAGAAGTTGTCGATAGTCATTAATAGTTTCTGTGAAATGGGATCAACCAGCCTACCAGACTCATTTCTGCTAATAAATCGAACGACGGTTTAAAACAGTTTGCCTTTTTTTGTTTGTTGTAGGGTAATCAATACCTGCAACCCATGATGGAAGTTGATTTGTAGAGTGCTCTCCGGAAGATGAAGGAATATTTAAGCCGCTGGGTTCATCAATTTTTCTCTTTTTTGCACATGTATCCATTGGTTCTTCAGGCTTTTCGTTATTCGATTCCGACGTCTTCGATCCATTTTGAGCACCTATTGGAAGATCTTTATTCCCATTGTCCATGTTGGACTGAAAAACCACAACAATTCAGAAGAATGCATTGTAACAAAAGAGGAGACTAACAACGTCGTAATACAAGTACTGAATGAGCAAGACGTAAGAGACTTGAAAAAAGTGCGTTGTCAATCAGGTTATATTTTCAGCGTATATTCAGTGCGAAAATTTATGATTATAACGTGAATTGAGCAAGTTAGGCAGTGCAAGTGAAGCGATGAAAAATCTAAAGTATCGGGCGACACGTCTTGGAACAAAGATTGTGCAGGGCCGCTGAGAGAACTCGTCCGCGAATCGCCGCGCGACAACGTAACAAGTTGAAAAAGGTATTTCAAAACTGTTAGAACTGGCTTGAAGTACATGTCACTGCTGGTAAGTCGATCAGAGACCGTGTCCCTGTCGGAATATTGCCTTTCACTCTCTTCTTTTTCCTTCCAAAGAAGGGTTCCGTACCTAGTTGTTCTTTGGTCGTTAACTTGTGCATCGTTACTCTAAAATGACTGGCAATCATCCAAAAAAAGTTACGGTTATATTTCTTGTTGTGTGCAATCTTTTTACGGTAATGCACTTATACAGTAGAACAGACTTTATTTCAATAGGTTTTAACGTTTTTACGTGAAGCGCTTTTACAGCTTCAAACAATTCTAATCAGATATGTCATGATCATTGTTAACCATAACTTTGAAATTCTTTTTTTTGCCTTGACATTTTCTTCGATTTTCTGAAACTACATGAGTAAATTAGAATCGTTACCTAAATCTAAATAGGGTAGTAACCAATCTCAGTCAATGGCTTCCTTCTTTAATTCGTCACACATTTGTAAATCCCAATAACAGAGGTAAAAGTTAAAATGACTAGTTAGTGTTGGTCTAATTCGAGGCAATTTCCTTTCTCTTGTCCCACTTTTCTACACGCGTTTTAAGTGACCACTTCAGACTTTTCGTTGGCGAGTATACGTACCAAGCATGAAGCGTTTTGCGTCGATTCGCATCAAGCGACGTGTTTCTGCCAATCAATATCCCAAGCTTGTGCTTTGGTTTTCATACAATGCTTTCATTTTTATTTGATTTACATATTTGGGAACTTCTCCTGAGATGTGAAAGTTTAGTTCAATTTTACTTGAACAATAACTTGAACAGAACGCGAAGTGATACACGAAAAAATGCGAAGCAAATCACGTTTGTTGCAGCGCTTTTAAGACTGTTAGCTTAAGCCATGAAATATTGATCAACTGAGTCGCGCGACTCGTGGCGCATGATGTCTGACGCTTGACGCAGGATGCCTTCCGCTAACGTGAAGTCTAGGCGGTGCTTGTGATGTTCTTGGTGGGTCACACAGAATGAAAATAAAGTTGCCGTTTAGGTTATGGTCGATGCGACTGCCACAGATACACCTACACCTCAGAAGAAGACGCTTCCTGTGGAATGTCTCAAACGCTTACAAAAGTTCGATGAGGCTCTGACTGCTCTCGAAGTGGCCATCGCGCCGATTCTCCAAGTCGGCTTCGAAGACCACATGAAAGTGAGAAACCAAGAGTCTTGTCGAAGTACCATATTTTCTTGTTCATATTCAGCGAACAGCATTAGGACTAGTTCGCGTCGATGTAATGACTATGTTCGTCATGAATTCTTTGGGATGGTGCTTAGCAGCCCAGAGAGGAATGGATCCGAAGGATGATGTGCAACTGGGTGACGAGCTGGTAAGCTTATTTGATCAGGCTTGGAAAAGAGTACTAGTTCGTTACAAAAGTCCAATCTTCGAGGTTCAACAAGGATTTTTCAAAAATTTGTTCTGGAGTCTGTCCAGTAGCCTTTGGGAAAATTTCTCTACCTGAATCTATTAGTTGTGATTTCTATTGAGATACAGAAAGCATCCTATATTATCTATCGTTACTTCTTTTAGCGACGTACGAAACAGTACGTGGAGCGGTTAAAATCGATTGAACTGCGCAAGAGCGCTCCAGGTCTGAACAAGCGAGTTGCAAAGGTAGACGATTTATTTTGTAATGTTCTTGTAATAGCTGTGCTCCTTGAAATATTATTTTTAAGGCATTCGTCAGAAACGCATTGTGGGAGGTTCCTAGCAAACGTCCAAGGGAAGCACATCCAGAGGAGGGCAGTTCATCAACCAATGGCGATGAGGAAGAAGGGGTTTGTAATGATTTTTCTATCTCGTATTCCATAATATACTGTTCGTATTTTGGTGTATTTTCGCTTAACTTTGTAATGATCAAGGTCTCCGACATCGAGGATATAGAGCACAATTCGGTTTCCGATAACGACGACGTTGAGCATGATGATGAAGTGATGGAATCGCTTATGCCAGCAGTCGAGCAAACCTCATATGCTGTGACCAATATCAAGTTTGAAGTAAGCGCTTATCAGTTGACGCATTCTTTTCATGTAGGCATGAATTTTACGGAAGCAATCATAAAAGATTTATGCGGAACAGTTCCTATCGTTTCATAATCAGCTGTAGCGCCTCGCAAAAGAAAGCATTTCCGAAAGTCAACTTTTTTTCGAATTGTTGGTCGATTCCAGGATATCGAGGCTCCACAACGACCTGTACGGGTGAAAACCGGGCGAAAAAAATAATTTGTACATCTGATTTGTTGACGGTATGTGTTCTCCATTGCTTGTTGAGTTTTTTTTTCTCGATAAAGGCTTCACTTTGAATATAACGTTTCCTTCATGGTTCTTATTTAGGAATTTGTTTGTACATCAATTTTAGTAATGTAATTTTGAAAGTAGGGAGAATGCTAATAGAAGTTAAGGGCCTTGTTCGGTCGTTTTTTGGATTTTTTGGAATGTGTAAGACATTCACAGCTGTCCAATTGGATTCATAACACTGGTTTACAAAACATTTCCCAGTGGTTTTCATCCCACCTTCCCATATATTAGGTGTGTGCATTAATTTCCGCCGCCGAATTCCAAGGGCCGTTGCGCGAACCATGTTAGAAGTTTACCGATGAATCCTGTCATATTCTGTAAGGTAGGGTATTGGCTACCTACTCAAGGGCAGACAGATCAGTTTTTCCCCAAAATCCCGTTGCTCCCAGACTGATCCTTCATGGAACATGATAAACCGTTTCCCCGGAGGCCTTACCCTGCTGTTTGATTTCAAGAAAACTGGCATTGACGCCCACCGGATGCTTCTATGGAGGACAAGCTTCATCTGAACGAACCTGCTGAGATAGTTTCTCTTCACTCGAGAGCTTGCAACGAAAGCGGAATGTTTATTGCCAAAAAGTAATGCTGTGCGTGCATTTGGTGGTGGAATCAAAAGGGTATCTTGAACTATGAGCTGCTGAGCCCGAACGAAACTTACGTTGACCGCTACGAACACCAACTTGACAGTCTGTAGGATGCTCTCACCTAAAAGCGGTCGTTAATCGCAGAAAATATCATGAGGTGCCGTTCCACCACGAACGCCCCAGACCCCATGTTGCGAAGAATGCCTTTAAAAAATATTGAAGTTGTTGGATGGGATCAGCTTGTTCAGCCCGTATACTCTCGGATCTTGCTCTTTCTGATTTCCACCTATTCCGGTCCATGCATGTCAGTTTGGCAGATACACGCTTCCGGAATGCCGAAGAGGTTCCGGAAGCGTGTATCTGCCAAACGAAACTGTTACTACTGACCGTTCGTTCGTGGTGGAGCGAAAATGGGTGGATAACAGGATTGCCTCGAAAGATGAAGACTTTTTTAGTCCCGAAGTCAACAAGATACCAGAAAGATGGCAAAAAGTTGTAGCTAACGATGGGCAGTACATTGGTTAATGTACTTTTGGTTTCAATGTTGTAATAGATATGTTTTTGCACGCGAAAAACGGCGGAAATTAATGCACACACCTAATAAATCAGCCACATTGAAATTTTCTTTACAAGATGTCCTCCAAAGTATATGTCGTAGGTATGGTAATCATGACTGGTTCCCGAGCCAATTTGATTCCACAAGGAGTTTTGAGCTATCACCTAATTTTGCCCACTCCGTGCTCATAGGAGAGGCGTTTTGCTGGTAATGTTGAACATCTTTGTGAAGGAGTGAAAGAGCCGATAAAAGATTCGCTCGTTCACTACACATTGTGAAAAAGGATGCTGGCATACGTTTATTTGTATCGCAAGCAAAAGAAGCGTTGACCGTTATTTTTTTCAATTTTGTCGTCATAATCCATTATTGTCTTGAACAGTTAGCAAGTGCCAGTGACCGCATTGTAATCGTTGACAAACTTTGCATACTTGGCTTTATTTTCTTCAGTTAAAATAAATTCGTATCTGAAAGCAAGGATGAAGCTGCTCTTTCCGAACCGTGAAAGTATCTGAAAGTCTGATTTGTCCAGTATGACTGCTAGGGAGGAGAAAGAGCTGATATTTGAAACACCGTCTTTTTCCTTGGCGCTATCTGGATACTTAAATACACAGTTCGCGATAGTTCTGAGAATTTTGCTAACATAAGCGAACTATTCGTCGATCCCATAATGCTTCATTGTGACGTACACATTCACAGGTGGACGTGTTATAAGGGCCTTGTTGAGAATTGGAGCCCTTATAATGCCTTTTCGAGGTCGCTCTCGACACCGCTGATACATGTTCGTCTTTGGGTGCGGACCTTGACGAAGCCCGTCTATGTGCCCTTATTGCTCCCAATCTAGGCCCTCTTCGGCCATAGCGGCTCATATGACACTTGGGGGGGGGGGGCAAGAATTCGTTGCAGTTAGAATTCTCGGAGACCGTTTTTATTTTGAATTGTGTCTGTAAGATATTACGCTAGTGATGAAATGCAGTCTGCACTGGCATAAGTCAGTACGGTTCTTCACTAACAGCGTCAAATATTCAGAGAGAGATACACACCTGCGTTTATGCTTTTCGAGAAAATAACAGAACATGACACGATGTACGTAGAGATACTGCTGAAATACCCTGTTTGAGTAGCGGAAAAATACGTTCCTAATAAGTTTATACCCCAATATCAGGAGGAACATGACTGAGTTAAAGGGGTTAGTTAGTGAAAAGGATGCTCACTCAAAGTTGGAGTTCCTAACAGCGAGGGGGGAGCAGCGATCGTGTCCGCTAAGTGCATCGTTCTTTGATGGGCACGTTGGCTAGAGTCTAGTGACTTAGCAAGGCCAGCACTCATAAATAACGGTCATTGAGTATTTATAATCCGAACTATCACGCGACCAATCGTATTATAACGTCGTCTGAACATTTTAAGTCCAGTGGGGGCAATTGCTTTTGGTACGATGCCGTGTGTAGCGAGAGTGAAGCACGGCATAGGGATGTGCAGGATAGGGAAGGATGACTGGAGCAGAAAGCAGGGAATGTAGAAGCCGCAGGCGTTGGCTAAAAGTACTCCGGATAGTCTTTGACGATGATATGTATCGTGCGGGTGAAGCTTGGGTATTAAGGGTAAGGGTATCATGCGAGTATCCTTGTTCTCTCTGCTGTGTGAGGTTTAAGTTGGAAAGTCCCTTCAGAAGGTTTCGTACATAATCGGAGCCCTTCCACCAAGCACTGCTAGAACCTCCCTGAGCTTCATCTTCTACCAATAGTCGATCGATTACATGGCGATCAGCAGGCAGCGATAACTTGTCGCTAAATGAAGCCGCAAGCGAAGTAGAACAACAACATAAGCTCGCGAGGCGCCGCAGATACCACATATCGATCGCCGCACGCGTCCCCAATGCGCAGCGGCAACAGTGGCCGCTGCCACATCGGCATAGCGGTGTCGCAAGTCGCACGTTGTCAACTGTAAAGGCTGTTCGACTAGGCGAGGGCAAAGAACCTAAGTTCCACGAACCATATCGTTTTGTATAGAGTATGCTCGGTAATGTCGAAGTTCTTTCAATAAATCGCACATGTTTGCGCATTCAACTCCAGCTTGCATCCGTTCTGAATATATCTGAGTTATTCTTTCGACTCGTTTTACATAACTTCCCCATTTAGCCCATTACCCATTACTTCCCCATTACCTAAGATATATTCTATAGCGACAATGGTTCCAGTCCGTCCGATCCCTGCCGAGCAGTGTACAATTATCGGCTTTTTCGTTCCACGTATCCGTGATAACAGCTCCTGCATAGTCACTGGTTAGAGCTGAGTAGTAGTGACTCCTAGCTACATCGTAGACGAACCATACTAGTAAGACGACATGGTGGTACTCCCCGATCGGGCCAGTCCAACCACTGATAGTGCCGTACTTCACGAGTTTCTCTGGTTCCATCTGGCTTACCAAATTTAATGTTGAGTATGGTGAGTGCTATGGACGGCTCTTCAGGACACATCTGCCGTACCTGTAATTTTCCCAATCATTTGTCACATCTGATACTGTACGAACTTGGGTGCGAAGTCTGCCACCCGGCCACAGGCACATGCTGTCCCCGTTGGCGTTGAAGTTTGGAACGACCTTATAGGTAAGAAATCATGACCTGACCCAATGAAAGGACGAGTTTGAAGAAGATGATCTTATCTGTTTCGCAGTCAACGAAGAGCTCTTTGAGCAGGTAAGTAACTGAGCAATTAATGCAAGCGCTCACCATCATGTTAGTAACTTCTATTCCAGCAAACGTTTTGGTTTCGCCCACAATCTCGGGCCAGTACTGTGAACATTTAAATTTACCCTGAAATCGAATGTTTCCGAGAAACAGCTTTCGGGGCTGTGACAATACAAAAGGAACAGAGGGCTAGCGAAATTGTTTTCTTCGTAGAGGCTGTGTGCTGCAGGCAGACTAGAAGTGGAAGGACTAGAAGATATGTCTGGATGTACAGGATATCCAGTCTGCTGCAGCACACAGGGCCTTTCGAGCAGTTGTCTTTCTTTGCTCCATGATTTAAGGGCTCATACTTCATCGGAATGCGACTCCCACACTGCCACTCTCGTTCAAATTTCTTGAGCGATCGTAAGATCTCAGTCACGAATTGAACACCATCCATGGACCAACACACTTCCCGTGGACGTGGAGTTTTTTGGATGAACAGGGATCTCTCAGATACTACTCGAATTCTCGCCATAGGTGCGAGTGAATTCGGAGACGATATTCAGCCTTAGAATTTAGCGTTTGCATAATTAAAGTCTCTGCGTAATTTTACGAATTGCCGTAGTCGAAGCCCAACGTCGTCCGATCCGTACCTGCTACCGAAGTTCTACGGAAGATGTGTATTATCAGTAACAATAAGTAAGGCTTTTGCTCCACCCCGAATCACAAGAGTGTGGCGTATTAAGCCGTCAAGGAGCCACCCAGTCGAAACTCAATGTCACTTGCCGCCCGTGCGACAGCCACGACTATCCCCACATTATGTGGGTACCCCTAACCTCTTATCTGTGGTAGGTAGCACTCCCCGACACCACCAGTCATGGTCAGAGGTACCCACCTAGCTTCGGACCTGTCATCCTCACTCACTTTGTTCAGCGAAATGGGTGTAGCTGAAATTTCAGTTCCCTTAGACTTACGGTGCCTCAAAAACTATCTCAGAGTCAAGACCTTGTCTGACTAAGATTCCAGCTGTACTCACTGTCTCTATGCAAGTACAGAGCATCACAATAGTTTCGGACTCCTCTTGCAGTACCATCATCCAAAATTCAGGAATCGTGTTGTCCAGGGGTCCCTGTAAGAGGGTACTACTGTAGGTTTAACGCAGAAGATTGCCAATGAAGCTCTCACCTGTGTACAGATGAATCGCTTCTCTGACAATGGTGTTCCTACGTAGTTGGCATGGATGTAGTCGGTGGGGGCGTTGGGCCACTTTAAAACTATTCGATGTTGGTCCTGGCACGGCACATCCTGATACCTGAAATATCCGTCTGGCTGCAAAAGCTCATCCAGATTCTTTAACGGTTTGTGGCCATACCTGTTCCTGCCAGCTTCGTGATTGCTTATGAAAGCATCCGAAGTCATTTCCGGTACTGTGTATTTCGCTAATGATCGATATTCGGCTCGTAATGCATCGACGCCCATGTCCAGTGCTCGTTGAACCCATTTGGCTACCTGGAGTGGACTCACAATCAGATGAGCCCTTAATCACTCATTGGGTGAGCGTTTGGGTGATTTGCTTACCACTTGTTGTCCACCCTTTGCGCACTGAGCAACCTGTGGTTGCTGTGGTTGTTGTTGTAGTTGTGGTTGTGACTGTTGTTCCTAGAAAATAAGCACAACAAAAGTCGGAGGGCTACGACTCTACAGAAGTCGTCGCTATGGGTTGAAAAGGGACTTCGTGATAGCCTTGTTGAATTATGAAACTGCCGCTCTCACGCAACTGCCCCGGCAGGTGAGGGCTCTCCATAGATTACGAGGGTGTGGGTACTTCTTCCCGAGAATCGCGTGGCGCTCGCCGTATCCGATCGCGCACAATCGCGCGCATTGGAGAGAAAGGCTCGAATTCTATGTGAAAGATTGCGGTAGCCACCACGGAACCACTGCTGTGTAATACGGGGAAGTACCGCCGCCCTGGATGACGACTATCCACTATCTCGGTGCGCATGATGCTTGGACGAGACAACCACTGTGACCCGTCCCGATTACTTCCAGGACATTTGCTCTCCCATGACGAACCCTGGTGACAGAAAAGTCTGAGATCATACCGGTTGTACTTCTATGGAGATGAAAATGCAAATGGAGTAGTCCTGCTTTTTACGGTAGGCCAGACAGTCATGGGCCAGCCGATGGGTGCGGTGCAGTAGGATGGAAATTGTCGCGTCGCGGCGAGAGAGGCGCCGCGCGCGAAGAAACGTAGCAGAATGCAGCGGCAAGTAAGAAATACAGGAGTACAGGAACTAGCATCAGAATCATCCTAAAAATAATAAACGTATATCGATTGAGTTGTATGAAGAACGCTAGGACTGTAATAACGAGGCGATTGGTCCGCCACTGCCGCGCGCGGCAAATCGATTACTTAAAACCAATCCTACTGCCCGTTTGTTCCAGTCGATGTATAAGTCATTAATTCTAGCCTCTCAGACGAGTTCACTGTCGATTAGCTAGCGGTCCCGGAGAGAATGAAAGACTAATCAGCTTGGGCGAGTATCGATACGGGATTAGAAACTCTGATCATGAATGAGTGATAGTGCGCCACTTGCTGCTATACCACCTTCGCCTCAAATCGGTCTGATAATTTATGGTAAATGCACCCTACCACGAAGGTTGGACTGCTCGGTTCTCGATATTTCAATGAAAATAAGACCGCGGTGAAATGGATGTAGAGGTTTGTCAGAGGGCGATCTTGTGGCCCAGGGCTCAGCACCGTTGGGATAAAAAGTTGGGATCACCCATCTAAGGAGAGCAAAAAGAAGGAATGAACGTCGCTTGTGTGAATACGGAATCACTGTTACTTTGTAGTGGACTTGTTGATTGAGCGGTTGAAGTTGAGTGAGAGCAGCCTCAATCTCAATGGTCCTCCTAAGCCAACAATATGGAGCCGCATACCCCTTTCGTTCGACTATCTCTTTTCCGGGTTTCCTTTTTCTTATCGGCATCTGCTGACGGGTCATTGCTTTGATTAGTCTGGTCTCTGGTTTTCCTTTTCCTCTCTCCATTCTTTTTCTTCAATCTTTTCGAATCTCTGAAAGAAGTTCAATGGTTTTAGAGCATTCTTTAGGTCACTCGCCTTCTTTCTAATCTTCTTTACAACGGAACTCTGAAACCTCTCGCTAAACACTATTTTAATGCTTTTAAAAAACATTTGGCTGTGAATGACGTCATTCCTGTCATCGAGGATTTTTGAATTTTGGTTATAACAGGGTTCCCTACAGAGGGGGAAATTCGCTGTCAAACGAGGTCAGGGATCAGTAGCGATAAGAGTGTCTGATGGGGTGCATCTGTAGTACCCTTCGAAACAGTTATGCAGATGAGCAAGGAATCGATATTAGTCGCAGTCGATTGGTTGGGATTAACGGTTGAAGCTGGAACCTGTGTTGTGATCTGCATAGTAGAAAGGCTTTCGCCAACTTCACAGCAACCTACCTTCTGCGCATCATCCTCCAAACTGAACACTACCTCGGTTTGCTTTGGGTTTCCCATATCAGCACTTATCATAATCGTGGACGGTTTACAGACAAACATAGAAGCATACGAAGAAACCGACCCTTGGGTTCATGACTGGTTGTTCGGACTTCAAACATGGGTTCCCTTGTGAAAGGTGCAGCCTCCGAAACTCGTCCGCACATTCAATGTTGTGCGGGACGATGTTCGAGCCTTCGTAAAGCCCTATCCTGGCCGTTTTTCGACCTGATAACGAAACACGGTATGCGAGGGGGTCGCAGATTTATCCTAGTAGAAAATCCTGTGAAACCATTTCTATCGTGCACTGTGCCTGTGAAGTGAATGATAGTAAACGTTTGTGACATACAATATAGTCTTCTTCCAACCCATCTTCCAACTCATCTTCTTCCAATATACTGTTGTGGTGTTGCAGCAGGATTCTAATTGAACCTAACCCCATTTGCATTGAGGAAAACAACCAGAAATTGACATCTGTGTTACATACATATGATAACAGAGGATAAGGTTTGAGGGCGGGAGTGGTGCAGCGGCAAGTGGCTCACTATATCGCATGCATGGTCCCGGAATCGAACTTCGAATCGATACGATATATAGGCCATATACACATTCATAACAACCACTACGATCTGAATAGAAGTCAAAGCGTGCGGGACAAAGTTGTGCCAAATTTTATCTCTCACGAAGTCTGTTCAGCAAAGCGTAGTCACAAAAACTGCTTCGGAACAGTTTCACAGTAGGTAGCCTTGGGAAGAGCCTTCATTCTCTGATTTTACATGAAGAAAGGTTAGGAACAATAACTGAACTATCGCTGTCTGTGTTCCAATGCTGTGCTGTAGAACAGAGCGTGATCGAAGGCGTTCAGGAGGGAAAACAGATTGCTGGTAGGTCAGCCGCTGTACATCCATCCACTCAGATGCGTATTCTGAAAGTGTTGTTGACTACGTAGAATAGTCTGACTGCCTGAATTTTATCGAACCCGAGAACGTCACGCATCCTTTATAACATCACAAAGGAGTTGAATTAAGCGGTGAACGGCTGTTCAGGTGGGATTCAAACGTCCAGTTGTCTTCTCGCGTCCTTACCCATTGCACTACCGGAACTCTCCCTCTCCTCCATGGACTCTGATCCGCTACAAGGCCGAATGGTTTTCCGTCCTTATGCACTCACTTATATCGAGATTCATGTTTGGACACTCCACTTATCGTGCCTTCAGTGAAAGGATTCTTTTCTCAGGTTGCTTTCGAATTTACCTACCACCATGTCTATGGTCAGTAACGATGCCTTTCGCATTGATCAATCCCGTCTGGGGGATGCGCCTCGCTTTCGACTTCCATTCAAAATCGTAGTGACGTTTTGAATATATGGATATATGAAAGTGGCATATATGGCCTATACAATGACTTGTAGTGGCCGTCAGCGTTTCTATTCTCTCGGACAAGTCTTGAAGAAGGCGGAAAGATGGAAGAACTACTCGACGCCTGTCGACCCGGGATTCGATCCTCGGACCATGCGCGTGATGTCGTGCACCATTACTTCACTTCGGCGCTGCAATACTTTCGCCACTAAATATTTTTGGAATTTGTAGATGCACAAATAATTGAATCGTCTAGCAAATTCATATCAACACAGCAATTGGATATCATTCATTAAGGAGATCTATTTTAACAAAACGCGGTTTTCCATGATGTCTGATGTTGTACACCTCTCGAGCCATATGGCTACCAGTGATCTGCTCCGGTCCAATGTAGGGGCGAAAAGGAGGCAGAGGAGTAGTGGCTGAAAAGTTTTTTATTGCAGAAATGTTCAGGATTAGTCATTGGAATGGCTGGCTTTTCAATCGAAAGGGACCTGTACCTATTCTTTCCGCTCTTATTCGGGATCTGAAGGTTTCGACTGAAAATAAAGTTCTCCACTGAATCAGACCCTGAATATGTTCCATGTCATTTGGAACCATTTTCGTTTTCCCACTCACACATCGGATATGAACTACGAGAGGTTTTCGTCAATTGATTCAGCCGGTCGAGTTTTATTACATTACTGAATAGATTCCCAGCTTTTCTGATTTTTTCGATCCTGCACTGCACAGAGTCCCCGTCGCCTGGGCAGGGGGGTGGGAAGGGAGGAGCGGATGTGAACAGGGGTATGGTATTTGCCTCATTGGAAAAAGACAACGTCTCAAAATAGTTGCCTATTCTGCTGAAGGCAATTCGGGACTGAGAATAAACAAGGTAAACAACAGTAATACAATGATAACGACACTTCAGAAGCGACTGACTGGTTTCTGGAAGGAACGTCAATGCCAGAGGAACCGCCGCTTCCGTTGTCCTTTCTTGTAGAACTGAAAAAGCTTAGGTTTTACGAAAGCGCTTACTATCATATTATAGAACATGCAAAGGCGAAACACTCAGTTGTACTGGCCTCAGTGGTTAATTTGGTCACGGGTGGACAAGTTCCTCAGTTCCTAATCCCCCTTCCCACCAAACATTACGAACCTGCTATTACGGTAGTAGAGTCTCGCTTCGGTTCTGGTGTGGCATAGCGTGGTTCGTCTTTGTCGAATCTCCCCATCGGCCACGATCCTAGACGATCCGTCTCCAGGAGATCGTGCCCTAAAGAGATCATTAAGGGCAGAGGACAGGGAGAGGCATTGGATGATCCAGAGGTGTGTTGACAAAAAGCATAAGGGACGTGTAGCTGAATGATATCCACATGGGAAGAGGGTTTGCTCTAAATTGAAGGAGCAAGATCTCTTTCCATCTCTATTCGGAGAAGGGTTCTCAACCTCCCATAGGACTTTGCGAAGAGTTCAGAATGCTTATAACGATATGGAAACGAAAACTGCTGGAGTTTAATGGGAGGTTGAGTACCCGTTTCGTAGGTACGGTATGCGTCCACGCCTGGTAGTCTCCTCACAATGGTTACTTACCAGATTAGGTAACATTTCACTTNTAAAGGCAGAGTAAAGGGAGAGGCAT